CACGCTATTGGCTGACACACGTTCGCTGTGCTGACCGCATAGTATGAGACCCGCATACGTGTTATAAATATAGGTGGGTCTGTCTGCGACAGTCATTTCGCTCCCGTTCGCCGCTCACTCAACATCCTCTAACGGGGGGCCAGAGAAGACCTCGACGCGCGCGCGACAGTCATTTCACTCCCGTTCGCCGCTCAGTCAACATCCTTGAGCTGAAGAATCCAAAGCAGTAGATTTACCTTTGTGACGAATTGAAAATTGATCATCGCCATTATACATCAAACGGCTTTTTTCAAAGCCCTACAAAAAGTTCTTTTCAGAACTAACATATACTCTTTGTTTCACAATGTGACACACACATAGTTTGTAGGCCAGCATATAATTATAGGGGATAGAGAAGACAGAGAGCAAGGTAGAGGTTAATGCGCGCACGCTATTAACTGACACACAATCGGTGTACTGACAGCATAGTAAGAGATCCGCATACATGTTATAAATATAGGTGGGTCTGTCTGCGCCAGTCATTTCGCTCCCGTTCGTCGCTCACTTAACATCCTTGAGCTGAAGAAACCAAAGCGGTAGATTTAGGTTTGTGACGTCAGACAATATTACGCACACGCTATAATCACATTTTAACCTATTAGTCATTTTTTCTAACGTTTGTGTCAATGGAAGACAAGTATATCAAATAATTCTCTATACAAAAAAATCGAATAGTGAGTTTTTTATTTTAAGTTTACGTCTTTGTATTAAGTATCAAACATTATTATTGGTAGTTTAATTTCTGTTTCGAATCACATAGATGCTAAATTTACCCTCAACTACTTAAAAAATCCCATACATTTTCTATGGAAACTTCCAACTCCTGTGGACGCCAAAGCTGCAGACTTATGGATATGACGTCAAGGCAAAAATTGTCAATAATTGTAAGCACTATAACACCCACTAGCAGGTTTTTTGATACTCTTTACCATTTAAAAAAAAACACTATAGTTACTTTTTTTCCATACAAGAAAAAAAACAATATTTTTTTTTAGTATGAAAAAGTTCTTTTTAGTATAAGTGCTAGAACAAAAGTTTCTGCTATTGTTTTAAGCTGTCCGTAAAAAAAAATCATTGCGATAGCTCAACTTTGATCCCTAAGTCCACGATTTCCGAATCTTGGTCCAGTGTGCGTCGTTCCAATCTGTCTATTTGTCTGTTCGGTACAAATATTTCAATTGATTTTAAACTAACTTTCCGATGAGCTAGAGAGTTAAAATTTTGACAGTGGTCAGAAGTGGATGACAATACAATATTAGATTGTTTCCTTGTCTGTCTGATTGTTTGTTTGAAAGTTTAACAAAAATACACATTTTTTATGACTAAAAAGCTGTTTTTTTTTTAATATACTTACCACGTTTTTAAAACGGACTAAAAAGTATAACGAAAAACGTTGGGTGCAAATAAGATAGGTAATGATAAAAAGTGTAAAAAGTAACAGTCGTTGAGAAATCTCATGTTAGAAGAGTTTTCTCATTGACTGCTACTTTTTATGCTTAATTATAATTTGAAATGCTTGAATCAATTTATACGGCATTAGAAAATATTATTTTATACTGTTTAGTCCGCTTTAAAAACGTGGTACATAATTTTTTTTTTCGTTCTATGCCTAAACACCCTAAGAGTAATTATGTTTGTGTATCCTTTTTTTAGGGACAACACGGGGAAAAAGAAAAAAAGGTCGGGATAGTAGCAGTGGAGGAAGCGATGAAAATGACAACCATGATAAAACCCATGTAATGCCAAGATCATTGCATGCTAACATTAGACAAGCGTCGCATTCTCCAGCAGAACCTGTAAATATATCTGTTGCCGATTATTCTTCTCCATCGACATCCCAGCAAACTTATGAGGTCAACGTCGATCCTGAAATTAAAGTTGACGATGGCTATCATAAAAATATATTGTCATTCTCTATACGGAATGAAAAGGAGAGATTGGTGTTGATTCTGGCGTGATTCTCTAAACTTAAAACTAAATTTAACATCAGTCTCTCCTTTTCATTCTGTAAAAAGAACGACAAGGATGTCGAATGTTGTCACTGTTGTCAAATTTAAGTTTAGATTTAGAGAATCGTGCCAGAATCGACACCATTGATGTTAAATTTAGTTTTAAGTTTAGAGAATCACGCCAGTATCAACACCACTGTACTGTCATGTAGTGTAGCGGCAATTTGGTACTTTGATAATAATTCTTTCTTTAATTATAATTTGTATTGAACTATTATTACTGTGCTAGGCTGACTTAAATATATTTTTGGGAAAATTGGTCCGATATATCGATGTCGATATTGATATTTTTTAAAATATCGATGTATCGATATATCGATATTTTTTTCAACTTTCGACATCCCTAAAAAATAGATGAATTTTTAGGTTAGGTTAATTAAAAAAAAACATGCATTTCCGTCGAAAATCTTTAATACGGGGGGAGTCGGGGAGACCCCCTCCCCCCCCCCCACATCAAAACTACCCCGAAATTCCACCACAACTAATGGAATTTAGTACCCTGTATTTTGATACACAACTGCATTTGTTTTTACACCTTTCTCACAAAAATGTGTAACACTTTTTTTTGTAGCAATGAGCTAATTTGAGTTTAAAATCAAATCCTTAGTAAAACAATAACAAATAGAAGGGTTGATAGCCTCAAATGTCAACCCCAATGTCACTTTAAATTGCGTTCAGAAATCCAAACTTTAAACTTTCCTTCACATAAATAGTCCATGGTCGTACAGGATCGTAACTCACTATGTCCATGATTATTTAATTATAAATAAATTTCATTTCTTTAACTTATAATCTTTGTTAAACAATAAATTGATCTTAAATTAATACAGCCAACAAATTATTCAATATAAAATAATAAAATTACCAATTGTTTAGGCTGTATAATACATAGTAGCCTTGACCTTCACCAGTTTTTTTTCTATTATGGATTTGCATGGTTGGTAGGTCGGAATCGGTTAATTGTATTGATTGTAATCGATCGGTGATCGATTAGTAAATAGTTTTGAGTTTTAATAGTTTCTTTCAGGGAATTCATCCCTAAAAATAAAGTAAATATATTCGTTTCGCTCTTTGTGGAAATATGTTAATTCTACAATTAACATTTCGTTTATAGTGGTATTTTTTCCATTAAGTTGATTGATTCGATTCTGTGTACCGATGACCTATGTCTCGATGTATTCGGTATGCGAGTAGGTTTGTCACCGCACGAAAAAGCCTCTTTCTTTCACGTTTATGCCTCAGATCAAAAAAGATGTGAGGAGAATTTTCTATATCAAATTGAGTGTTTTATCATTAGTACTTCATATCATTTGTACTTGATGTAAGAAATTTAACATATAACTTTTAATTTAATTTGATATCCTTTGGTCAAGTAATTTGTACTAGCATACTTTGTTAAAATGTAATAAATGGATGTGAACATTTAATGTGTGGACATTTTCATTTCATCTGAAATCGTTTGTTACTGTGTGCATGGCGCCTCTGTATAAGTTTTGTACACAGTATTCCAGGCAGGGCCGGATTTAGAGGTCCAGAGGCCACGGTGCAACAGAGGAGCGGAGTCCCGCCCCCTCACCCCAAATTATTTTCCAAATAAAGTAAACACTTTTTTTCAGTCGAGTTTTTCAATAAATAATTTATTGTAAACCAATTAGATTCCCTTAGTATTTGAACGAACACATATAAACGGAAACAAGAATTTTTTGTTTCTTTCGCCCCGGTTGCCGTCCCCTAAATCCGGCAGTGACTCCAGGCACGGCCTTAATAACACCCGCTCCCTGTTAACTTGCTCAACATCTAGCCGACTGTTGCAAAATTAGCCGTAGCCAAGAAAAACCCATTACAAATGTACCTCTGTTAAGCTCCAATAAGAAACTCCCAACCATACCATGAGCGAGGATGGAAAATGACCTCATTGGACACGCGGAATATGGTTGCTCGCTTCTTCACTACTGTGTGCGTACACATTATCATTTTGTTTGTTGTAGCTCTCTTCTACGGTAAAAATTTTTTCATCCGAAAAAAGAATTTCTCGATATTGTTTTCCCGCGTACCGCTTCAACAAAGCGCAGCATCTCTTCAGTCTCAGGTCCATTAGACGAGCATTCAAACGATGTCCTGTTTTTCTTCGATATGCCCGAAGCCCTAAGTCTTCATTTAACATCCTTTTCACCGTTGTTCTGCTTAACCCCATCTGAAGGGCCAACAGTTTCTACTTACGTTTGGGATTTCTTTGAATTCACGCCTTCACAGCTTTTATTACTGCTGAAGTCCTAACAGACCGAGGGCGACCACTTCTTGACCTGTCATCTAGAGTCTTTATTGTATCGTTTGATGGTACGATAAACGAATCTTTTGGTTATATTCAAAATTTTCAGTATGTCAAAAATTTGAATTGACGCGTAACAGCAACGATGCCGCGCAATAACTGCAACACTGTCTTCTTTATTTAAAAATGAGTAAAATTCTAAAAAGTAAAAATTTTAATTTTTATGAACAATTCGAAATTCGAACTCAATAAACTTTTTTGTGGCCAGCATTCTAAAAGAAAAGTTTTTACTGTGTGACAATACTTATGACCTGACTGTGTATTGGTGAAAGCGTTCCAAACGGGTGACAAACAAACTCATTTTCGCGATTATAATATTATATGTATAATATAATATAAATTTTAATCTCCAATTTCACTCATTTTCAATATTTTCGCTTGAGGTAGCTTGCCTTAGCTCAGCGGCCTTACTCATATTTTGTTTTACTCGGGCCATACATGTACCTATCAATTTCGCTTTACTTTGTCTGTAAAATTATTAATACTCTTCACTGAATTTAGTTGTTCGCTGCTAGCTAAGCCAAGATTTTGCACTTCAATCAATCTACCTATATTTTATCTTGATTCATGGTTGGTATATAAAGTTATCTATTTTACCCGATATCGGTACTCTCCTTGCCGTTATGAAGTTGGTCGTGATCTTTTGGTAAGCCTATCTTTCGTGTTGATCTGATAAGGAGGAAGTGTTAAATTCAACCCAGTATTGTATTTTCTATCTTTTTTCTGCTATGTATTCATTGTCATCAACATCATCCCGATTAACGCCCCACTGCTTAGGTGTTAGGTAATGATTAGATTAAGCATAATTGGTCATGCATGTTCCACCACGCTGGTCCAGTGCAGATTGGTGGGTTCTATATAAGAAATGCGTATGCAGCTATTATTAACGGCTTAACGTGCTTTCCGAAGCTCCATGGTAAATTTATGGTCACCCATCCTAAAAACAATGCGAAAGTTGCTTATTTTGCAATATCGCAGACTGTTACCCTTAGTACGAGTTTGAGCTCACGAAAACTATCATAGTTTTCGTAATTGTAAATTATGTTTCTATGTCCATTCTGGTGAAAAGTAACAAAATATACTTAAATTTTAACAAGACGCAAATGATTTAATGATAGAATTTAAACAATGTTTATTTGTATTGAAACGAAAACAATAAAATCAGTAAATCAATCAAGTAAACAATAAAATCCCTTAGTACGAGTGCGAGCTCACGAAAACTATCATGGTTTTCGTAATTGTAAAACTCGTACTAAAGGTACTGAACGCGCTAACCACTTCAGCGTAGTATTCACTGTAAGCGTTATTAAATTACTTTGCATAATAAATTACTTAAGTATACAACCTCAAATTTGCTACCTTTGGTAAATTGTTTCATATTTTTCTTTGGGGGTACAATATTTATTACTGTACCTAAAAGCCCGTCTCCTAAAATTTTTTTTTAATGAATAGTACTTATGTTTGGTTTTCCAGAGTCTATCATTTACATTTTACGTTGAAGGTTATTTTTGGTGAGTTGCCATGGCGAGTCAGTACGGCAGGCCAGAAAGTTCCCAGATGACTTTTGGTTTGGGGCTGCTATCGCCGCTTACCAAGTTGAGGGTAGATCGAATGCTAATGGTAAAGAATAGCTGTCTTAGATTTTATTTTGATTTAAAGAGTTAATTATAATTTTATTTTTTAATCATTTAACTATAGATAGATAGATGTTTAAATCTAAAGGGCCGCAGTGGCATAATGGCCAGGAAAGCGGAGGGTGCGGGTTCGAGTCCCGTCTGCTGATTGGTTCGCGTGGATTTTTTTGTACTAAAATTGTCTTTATATTATAGAGTTAATTATATGCGCGTATTACTATAACTTCCATGTGTTTTTTTATATCAGAAGAACACTGAAAATACAGCAAATACGCAACTCTTGAATTGAACCTTTATTTTTCAGGCAAAGGTGAAAACAGCTGGGATTATATTACTCACAATAATCCGGAGTACACTATAGACTTCGCTAATGGAGACATTGCTGCTGACACATACAATAACTACAAGAGAGATGTGGAGATGATGGGAGAATTAGGTCTCGATGCCTACCGCTGTTCACTTTCTTGGTCGAGGATACTTCCACAGGGATTCACCAATAAGGTTAACGAAGCTGGCATCGCTTTCTATAATAAGGACATCGATGAAATGCTAAAATACAACATTCAAACTTTAGTCACTCTGTACCATTGGGATCTACCACAACCTTTACAAGAGCTGGGTGGATTTGCTAATCCTTTATTCTCGGAGTGGTTTGAAGATTACGCAAGAGTGGCTTTCAAACGTTTGGGAGACAGAGTGAAATTCTGGATTACGTTTAACGAACCGAGGGAGATATGCTATGAGGGTTACGGAGCTGATACTAAAGCACCTGTCGTAAATGCTACTGGCGTGGGCACATATATTTGCTCCAAAAATCTGCTCATAGGCCATGCTAAGGCATATCACGCATACGCTAATGATTTTAAACCCACTCAAAATGGGTAATGTGGTATAACCATCGGTGTAAACTGGTTGGGTCCTTTAACGGATTCAGAGGAGGACCAAATTGCTGCAGAGTTGAGAAGACAAGCAGAAGTATGTTACTTAGACCGGTGGTTACTATTCTGTACAAGTATTTAAAATACTTATTCATTTAATTTTTCGCTAAATACAAATAATTCTATACCAACTCAATAAGACAATTTCTCTAAAAAAACTTTCTGTTACTTTAATCATTGAAATAATCTGTTTTAGTGGGGTTTGTAAGCTGAACCCATATTTTCCAAAGAAGGAGGTTTTCCCAAGGAGTTGTATGAACGTGTCGCTGCCAAAAGCTTAGAACACGGCTACGCCTGATCGCGAATGCCCTTATTCACTGACGAAGAAAGGGATCTCGTTAAAGGCAGCTTTGCCTTTTTTTGCGTCAATCACTATTCAAGTTCCTTGGTTTCGGCATCAGAACACGTTGTACAATATCCCGTTCCATCTTTATATGACGACTCTGCTTCATCCATATACACACCCGACGATTGGCCTAAATCTGCTTCGTCATGGTTGGTCGTAAGTACTAATGAAGGATTTGTCAAAAACATATTCCTTAAGCTTGCTCAATTTTAATGTTTTATATTTTCTCAGCAAGCACCATACAGTGTCTACAATGCTTTCACACACACTTGAAAAATCGTTATGGCGGCATTGACTTTTAAAACACAGAAAATGGATGGTCTTCTACCTCTGCTGACTTGATCGATGATGACAGAATTCGATACTACAGGGCCTCCTTGAATAGTCTTTTAGATGCAAGAGAGGCTGGTGTCAACATTAAGGGTTTCATGGCTTCAATTTCGAGTGGAACGCGGGATTCACGTAAGTTTAAATATTAATTCCCTTGTGTAAGTAATATAATTTGATATTTGTTAAGGCACGTCAGCACTACTAAATATCTAGGTAAAATAATGTTTATCATTGCAATTGAGCACCATCCAGGGAACCGACTATCCTTTACTTATAGGTGACTGAAGGTTATGTAGTGACTAGTGAGAACAGACGCACAAATCTCCATGGGTTAGGAGCCACTTCGAGCCAGGCATGAGTGTAGGAGTGGTTGTAATAATGATTACAGGGCCCTCTTTAAAAATAAAAACGATAAAGGGGACGAAAGTTCGTCGTTCGATTGTTTAAATACATCATGCATATGAACATCCCTAAATAAACGTTTGGTTTTTTTTAGTATGCCCTTAAACATTTGTTGTCCCTAATAATAATACGCCATAGTAACATAACCTAAAAACATATTTCCCAGAACGTTACTTTGTCTTACCTTAGGGATTGGCTAGGCCTGTACGCAGTTAACTTCGAAGACCCTGCACGACCCCGGACGCCTAAGAAATCCGCATTCGTCTACAAGCAAATATTCAAAAACCGCATCGTCGACCCGGATTATGAACCCGAAACTTTCACTATGACCATCGATGACGGACGATAAATAAACGCTCTAAACCATTTCTTAAGAAACAATAATTTACTGATGATGAGCCTGAACTTTTAGTTGTGGAGAAGAACTGGCGAAAGAAAAAAACAATGAAAAACAAAGATAAATAATAGAAATCCATATTACCCATATTGTGTAAGTTAAAAACAAGGTGCACCGCATAAATGACTCCAACACGCCTAATGCTAAGTGTTGTACTTCTTGCCACGACCATGGATGTTTATCTAATACCTTTAGACGGTAAAAAATGGTCACGATTTTGTACTACTACTGTTTGCCACTGTTTTGAAAGATCTGGAAGATGCGATTTTCGTGCTGAGATGAATACTTCCTAGCACGATGACACAGAAACAAGAGTTTCTATTTGGTCGTGCTAGGAAGTATTCTTCTAAGCACGACCATCGCGTCTCCTAGATTTTGTTGGTAGAAATTTTCAAAACAGTGGTAAGTAAATAATAGTTCACAGTCTTGACTATTTTTTACCGTCTAAAGATAGGTATTAGAAAAACATCAATGGTCATGGCAGGAGGTACAACACAATGTTTAGTGTCATTGGAGTCCAGACACGAAAATAGCTGGTGCAGCAGTTTTACCTGCCACACCATCCATCCTATTATCAGAACCATCCTGTACCCTTTTTCTTCACATCTAACCTCTGCTCTCCTGGCTCCATCATGAAGCGGTCTCGAGAGCAAAAGGAAGTTTTATGAAGCAATTTAACCATCGATTAACACTTTTTCATTTTATTAATCTTCATATAAAACAATAATAATATGCGAATAAAAGAAAGAAAAAAATATCTCTTTGTTCGCGTTGGAATTAGTAGTGGCCACAGTCAGTCTGTGACCTGTGCCAACGCTAGCCTACGTTATCACAGGTCTCAGTCATTCTCTGAAGGTTAGTGAAATCGTAACGACATTTATAAAACGCTATGGCATGTACAACCATGACACCGTCATAATCAGCCTATTAATTTCCCCACTGCTGGGGACTTCTCTATGGATGGAATAGGTAGAATGGCCGTGCGTGGCCCACCACGTGGGCCCACTGCGGATTGGTGGATGCTAACGACTGCAGATACAACCGGAACCAACAACGGCTTACGTGCCTTTTGAAGCACGGAGGAGCTCGAGATAATAATTTTTGGTCACATATCCAATGACCAACCATTGCGAAAGTTGCTTAACTTCCACGATCGCAGACCGATAATAAGTAATAAGAGTATCCAAATGTTAAATATTAAATAAATAAAGTAAATTAGATAGCACTGAGCGAGTAGACTCATCCCCACTCAATCACTTGGCAGCACTCGTTCACGAGCATCACGCATGAATCATCGCTTCGCTCAAAACCATAATACTCATAAACTAATGAAACAAAACTAACAAAAAGTTCGAATACATATCCTAACTCTTATTAAGGGGGCGGCTCACAACCGTGAGCTTGGATTGGACTATTCTCAACTTCCAAAAGAGTCATTCAACACAGTCACGAAAATATGTTTAAGAAGACGTGTCCCTTCTTTAGATTAGAAATTATAGAACAAAAGGTTCGTTAGTCTGAGGATGGGACTTGACCACTATCAATATTAAATTATATAAAGGTGAACCTATTATCGCTGTAACATTAGTACGAATCCTCAAAATTATAAATCTTATAATCAAAATAATAAGGAACAAAATTATTATTTTACTAAGTCTAGGTATATATACAATCTAAGATGGATAAGTAATTTATTAATTACGTCAATTAAAAGTGTGTTTATTTACAATCACTAACAATAAACATTTACTTGGAAGTTGTAATGCTAAAAACACTAGAATTCGCACATACATAATTTTAAAAAGAAAAACAAATGTTTGGTACTTCACAAGGTGCAAGGTTTCCACCCATGTTTTCTTTCATGCCTGAACAAAACTCAAAATCCCCTACTAAATACGATGATAAACTTAACCCATACATGAATGATTTGTACTTCCCTATTGTAAATTAAAGTTGATACATGATCTGTTTTTCTTTTTTTATCAATTAAGTATGTAATAGTGTTTAGAGTTACATGTAGGGTACATGACATGCAAATCTTCTGAAATAAACGATAATATAACACCTTCGATCAACAATAATAATACACTCCAAATTGTAAGTTGCTACAGATTCATCGATATCTCCTTACAATTTCTTATCTCTCTTCTCAGTTTAGTATATAAACTTACTTATTATCGCGGCACTCTAGTCGATATCTTCCAAGATGAGGCTCATCATTCTCTTGGGGTAAGTTTATACTAATAAACAATGCTATCGATAGCGTTAACAAATTATTTTAATCATTGACACTTTCAGCAGATAGGTATTTACTTATCGCTTTTTCCCAAGCGGTCAAGGTGACGATAACGAAAAGCCAATTATAACTCATAAGCTCGGATGATTCGTTGTTTTTGTTAAAATTTGTGTCACTATCTCACCTTGTAATCTTCTTAACAAACTCTGTTGTTCTTGTTTATTCGCCATCTTAGTGTCACTGCACACGGGCCACTGGTCCCAACCACAAAACACCGTCCCCGGCATATTTCCTGTAGATTTCATACATTTTTAAGGACTCGCCGCACTCGGTTAACTACGGTGGCTGCCACACACTACAAACCGTCGTTGCTCGCTTCTAGTGGCTCGCACCGGCCACTAATGCGCCGATATAATACGCCGCCACACGCCACTCGCACGATTGCCCACCTACAAACCTTCTTTGTCAGAGTCCATAATGTTACTGCACACATGGGTTAAAAAAAAGTAGCAGCCACCAGCGGCAAGTGTCGACCACCGGCCACAAGTGACTGTCGCGCGCTTCAGCTACCTTTGTAGCCGCTTCTGGCTCCTCGTGGCGGCATTTGTGGCTGTCGCGTGTGGCCCGTGTGCGGCGACACTTAGACAAGAAAAAACCTTAGAGATAAATAGCTCAAACTGTTTACTAACGTAACTTAACCGATTTGATTACGATGATAAAACACCAACCTCTATTTGCACGTGGTGCTACTTAATTATTAGCAGTGAATACAACAGAAATAAGACATTTTTAGGTACTTATACCTACAATACAAACAACATGATTGTAATAACCTGTGATAGAAAGAGAAATGCAAGTTTTTTGAGCTCTGTCTGACATATTTATTGCTAGTAGACTGCTAGCTTTAAAATAGTTAATCCGTATTCTAAGTAGGTGGTAACCTCGGCACCCATTTCACGAGCATGACGAATAAACTACCCAACCTTCCGCCCAAAATCTTAATGGCATTTCGTAATTACCTACTTAATTACCTCTACCAAAGGAAAAAAGTAGGTAACTAATACCTACGTACATAAGAGAATCTGATTTGCCTTGGCTCAAGATTAGGCTAGATAACTTCGATCAATCGTAGGACCTAGAACTAGAAATATCTTTGATGCTCAGTTTTCAAGAGGCTTCAGTTAGATATTCTATTTTCTCCTTTTCATAGCTAAAATTCTTTGAGAAAAAGTTATCGAAATTCTATTTAGTCTGTCTGTCTAAAAAAATCACATTATTATATTGGTACCTTCTCAGTTCTGTTTTATTGTTAGTTCCTACAATTGTTCGATCTAGATTAAAGAAGGTTATATAACAGGTGTTACGTAAGTAAACAACAACAAAGCTCACTACCTATCTAAAGTGAAGTGCCAAGATACAGGATCAATAAAATTTTGAAGTGTTTACATTTAGTTACATCGATCTATGAACGATGTGATGGACAACATCATAGTATCTAAATTACCATACCTGTTAACTGGATAAAGGGTACACTATTAACCAAACTTAATCTATCTATAGGAGCCTTTGGGTTCATCATCTAACATAGGCCTCCCCTTCAACTTTTCACCGATTTCTGTCCCTGGCCGCATGCATCAAGTAAATTCCCCTCCCCCCTGGATCTCTGAGGTATTCAGAGGTATTTTTCTGTGATATCGTTATTTTCCAATTATAATATAAAATAATTAAACTTTATTGCAAATTAAATCAATGTAAAATAATAGGAGAGTACATAAACGCGCGGAAATTCCTACCACTGTCGTTGTCATTGTGCTGGCACCACAGAAGACCACTGCCCGTCGCTGGAGTGAGTAAAACTTCAATTACCTATACCAAAAATTTATGGCTATAATATATCGTACTCGTCATATCATAGCGACCAGAATGATGGTGTTTTTTGGTACGTCCACAGTAATTTAAATCATAGTATTTCTGATTTTAATAGACTTGATGCTAATTGTATTGCGCTATGAAAACAAATTTGCAGTGATTCCCATTTATCTTTCGCCATCATTAACTAATATTAATAACTTTTCTTATAGTCATGATCAGAGGCGGCGCAAGGCGTGGGCGACGTGGGCCACCGCCTACGGCCTCGCGGTACGAGGGGCCTCGCGCCTCAAACATTTTTATGCATTGCTTAAAAGCGAGTTTGTTTTTTTTTTATTTTATAAAATCTGTCTTCAGGTCGCCATAGAACGCGTCGCGAAATCTGTCTTGCCCACAACAAATTTAGGTCTTGCCCCGCCACTGGTCATGATGCTTGTCTTGATAGTTTAAAGTCAACAAAGTCGCTGCTGTTGATTGATGATACCAATATCAATATTTCTTCTACTTGTTATGCTTCCAGCAGTAATAAATATCTTCTAGCAGTCCACATTTTTCCCACCCGTAAAGAAAATTGTATTGACCATGTCATGCTGAGGACACTATAACTTTCGTCTAAGATTCTCTAGTCACCCACCATACCACACCCCTTCTACTTGTATTGCAAAACTCAACGAAATATATCTAACAAGAAAATAATAAAAGTAGATTATCCGGCTTTAGTCAAAAACCTCTCTGATGTAGATTTTAGTCACTTAAATAACTCTATTATAGTAATGCCGATGCCTCTGCTGAGACTCTCACTAATACAGGCCATTCAGAAAATTTTGCGAAAAAAAGTTTTTATGTATAAGACACTGGCCACTTGTAATTATTTTAAAAACTTCGATTATTTAAAAGTAAAAATACCACTGTTCGATTTTCAAATTTCCCTCCGCATTTTTTCGAGAGCGAATTAAATTTTTCTTGTCTCATTAAAAAATAGATCGAACATTTTCGAGTTATGATTTTTTACGATTTTAAATGTGGCTTAAAATCTGATAAGTCATTTGATCGATTTCGAACAGCTTTTATGGATGAAGGACCTTCAAAAGCAACCATCTACCGCTGGTATAGCGAGTTCAAACGTGGTCGTCTTACTTTGGGGAATGAACAAAAGAGTAGATGTCCTACGACGGCTGTCACCGAAGAAAGTGTGCTGGCAGTAAAAAAAAAATTCAAGAAAACAGAGGAATTACGTACGAAGAGATTGAGCATACTCTGCAGATTGGTTCAGAAAGTGTTCAGAAGATTTTGCATGAGCACCTTACCATAAGGAGAATGGTTTCCCGCTGGGTGCTGCACAACCTCACCGAAGCTCAGAAGCAGGCCCGTGTGGATTGATGCAGTGATATGATACAAAAATTTGATGCAAGATCGTCACGGCACGTTTACGATATTGTGACAGGTGACGAATCCTGGATTTATCTATACGATCCAGAAACAAAGCGACAGTCGACATTTTGGCTGTTTCAAAATGAACCAACCCCTACGAAAGTGAAGCGATCGAGGAGCACAGGGAAGATTTTGATCATTACTTTTTTCGCTTTAACGGGGTACCTATTTCCAATTCCACTTCGTGACCAAAGCAGCATCAACGCCGAATAGTATAGCACAAAATGCCTGCCAGCAGTGCGGAAGGCCACACTGATCCTACTCCACTAAAACGCCCATATGGGGGCGTCTCAGGATCGACGTACCTTAGCGTGCGCCACTTCACTGGGACGCCCCCGGGCAGGCCCGGCCCAACGAGTGAACCGGGCGACGCGCCTCAGGGGGACTGCGCTAGGGTACTAGGCAGTCCCCAGACGTGGTGGCCTATGCCGGAGCGGCACCTAGGACGCGCGGGAGCAACAAGCGACCTAACACCGGACTCCGCAGGGTCCTTCTTCACCACGACAACGCGCCTGCACACTCTACAATCAAAACGAAGGATTTCCTGGATTCCACACCAGTCAGAGTCTTAGGTCCTTACAGTCCTGATTGGCTCCGTGTGACTTCTTTTTATTCCCTAAAATAAAAAATCAGCTCAAAGGGATACAGTTTTCATCGCCGGAAGAAGCGCTAGTAGCGTTTGAGAAGGCAGTGGGAGAGGTGTCTGCGGCGGACTGGAAAAAATGTTTTGAAAATTGGTTCAGATGCATGAAACTTTGTATGGAGGCTGGTGGAGAGTTGTTTGAAAAGATTTAATAAAAATATTTTTTTCATAGAAGTTAGTTAGTTTTTAGTTTCTCAAAACTATTGTGTTGCAACCGTCAATATGCCTATTTCTAAATCATAATCATCATAATCCATGCAATGTAAACATTTACCAAAACAAATAAAAGATATCTTTAAAATATAGAATCACTTGTATATTTCAAATTATGCGAAGGTAATTGTATTGATACGAGTTGTATATAAATAGATGACCCGAGGCTGTACCATGAACTCTTAGTGTGGGTCGATTCTGATTGTTAAAAGCTAGACATTCATTGTACGCAACGTAATATATAGCAGTGATCCACCACATGGTTTAATAATCATGAGGTCCCGTTCGAAAACTTAATTTGGGTCTTCTTAAAGTTCAGGGTCGTCGTCTCTTAGGGTCGACGAACCATTTGATGGATTTCCCAGGCAGTAGTTTTGCGCGGCGAGGCTGAAAACAGTACTGTGAAATTACAAATGCACAAGTTTTTATTTGGTGTCTTAATAAGGCAATATATATATATCTCTTATCTATTAGACAAGTCCGTCTGTCTGTGGTGCTGTTTCAGCGGCCAAACCGTAAGAGATAGATAAAGAGAATATTTAAGTTATAAGTTAAGAATAGTCTGATAAGACTACAAACCGGATTTGAGTAACGTAGCACTTCCGGTTTTCGAGAAATCAGGTTTTGGTGAACATTTGGTTCACTGGTTTGCTAGTATACATTATAAACCACATTATAGATGAGAGAAAACATTCCAACTATTTACAATTAGAGCATGCCAGAAAGGTTCGTGCGGGAATAATTGATAATTTTGGTGGATATAGTTTAACGCGTGCATGTATTTACAAGTTAAAAAGAATTACCATTTGCTATTCCTAGAATCTCTCAGTTACGCTCTGCCAAGTGACAGTGTCTAGGTACAATTCCGCAATGGGCTGCAGGTGACAACCGCAGGCGACACTGCGGCTAGCGCCTGTGGCTAGCGCCTGCGGCTGACCGTGCATTAAGGTACAAGTCCGAACTGAACCGCAGACCACAGGTCGCAGCTGCAGCAGACTGCAGGCGACACTACTAGTTTCTATGAATCTCTATGAAATTGATTTTGAGTGCAGCGACATGCCGCGGCTGCACAATGCATAGGTATAAAGGTACAATTCCGCAATGGGCTGCAGGTGACAACCGCAGGCGACACTGCGGCTAGCGCCTGTGCCTAGCGCCTGCGGCTGACCGTGCATTAAGGTACAAGTCCGAACTGAACCGCAGACCACAGGTCGCAGCTGCAGCAGACTGCAGGCGACACTACTAGTTTCTATGAATCTCTATGAAATTGATTTTGAGTGCAGCGACATGTCGCGGCTGCACAATGCATAGGTATAAAGGTACAATTCCGCAATGGGCTGCAGGCGACAACCGCAGGCGACATTTGTGTTTCACAGAATCTAGAAGCCATCGAAAGAGGCCAAAATTAACAATGTTTTATCGATATATTGTTTTAAACTTTCATGGATACTAACATTATAGTAATATAAGTTATTTGCGGGATTGTTTCCTAACTCAGTTACTCCGTGATCATGGTGCTTCCAAGTGTCGAAATATCGGGAACTCGCTGCAAACAAGGTACATAGGTAGTAACAATCCCGTATATAACTTATATTACTATAATGTTAGTGTCCAGGAAAGTTTAAAACAATTGTAAATTTAATAAGCATTTACAAAAAAAAAACATAGAGGCATAGTATAACTACTTAACATTCTTTGTGTAAAATTTCATTTAAATATAGGTACCTAATTTTCGTGGAGGAAATCGTCGAGAGCCAATCCTCTAATTTTGTAATTTTTATACGCAATTTTTTAGCGTTAACTACTGTAGTCTCTATGGCACAGTATTTACCAATGCGTGATAGCAATAGTTTTTTCAAATACTATAGGTATTTTGAACACTAACTTTAACGTGGACCCAGTAGCTGGCGCAAGCAAGTCTTAAGTGATTTAGTTAGAGAATGTGATTCTAAGGTGCCTCATGTTGTGAAATCATAGATGATAAACTATCAAAGTTTGAACTAACGAGGGAGTCTAATGTCAGCAAGAAAAGATTGATGAAACAAAAAACTCTTCTTTTATGATTCAGATTGTAGTGAAAAAAATATGATTATTTATTGAATTTGGATTTTTATTATTATCTTAAAACATGCAATACAAAGTATATGCAATGAAACTAATAGATATTTGTGACACATAATATTTTTTATTAAAAATTTAATTCAAGTTTGCGTTAAGAAGGTAGATTTGTAAGTATTTGGCGTTTGCCGATATCCTTCCTGCCTGCAGGCTCTTAGTCATAATAATTGAACTAGCCAATAGCAGCCTTTTTATTTAGGTACCAAATATAAATCAAGTATCAATGCGAATTTACATAAATGTATGAACTTTTTTTCCTAAGGTTATTCGTGGTGAGCTGTACCGCCAAGACCGTGAGGCAAGACAGAAGGTTCCCCGACGACTTTATATTCGGGACTGCCACCGCATCTTATCAGATAGAAGGAGGATGGGAGGCTGATGGTAAAGTTCACTGATATTTTTTTTATTGTATTATTACTTTATTCAAGAAATCTTGATATTTTTCTTGTAGTCACAGTAATTATACAAAAGAATAAGCGAAAATTATAGATTTTATGAAATTCTCGCGTTCAAATAATACTTGACGTCTTTTGTTAATCCTAAAATAAACAAATTAACTTTTGCACCAGGCAAGGGTGAAAACATTTGGGATTATATGACACACAATAAACCGGAGGTCATCAAAGACATGACCAATGGTGACATCGCTGCCGACACCTACAACAACTATAAAAGGGACGTGGAGATGATGAGAGAGTTGGGTCTGGACGCCTACCGCTTTTCACTCTCATGGGCAAGGTTACTTCCTGATGGGTTCACGAACAACGTAAACGAAGCTGGCGTGACATTCTACAACAATTATATTGATGAGATGATCAAGTATAACATACAGCCTATGGTTACTCTGTACCACTGGGATTTGCCTCAAAAACTGCAGGAGCTCGGCGGTTTCGTCAACCCTCTATTCACTGACTGGTTCGAGGATTACGCTCGTTTAGCTTTCGAACGTTTCGGTGATAGAGTCAAGTTCTGGATCACCTTCAACGAACCAAGGGAAATCTGCTACGAAGGTTACGGAGCTGCTACTAAAGCTCCGATATTGAACGCTACTGCCGTAGGAACATACCTTTGTGCGAAAAACCTTGTCATCGCTCACGCAAAGGCATACCACGCTTATGTCAAGGACTTCAAGCCTAACCAAAATGGACAATGTGGCATAACCATTAGCGTGAACTGGTTTGGTCCGGCGACTGATTCTGAAGAGGATCATATAATGGCAGAACTGAGAAGACAAGCCGAAGTAAGTTCTTTGCAATATGATGCTTGCTTAAAAATTTTAATAAGACAGTTCCAGTAAGAATGGCATATTCTTATTTACCCGGCTGCACTTGCAGTCAGCCGTTCGTACTCAATAAGCCACACTAAAGCAGCGGTTTTTAAAGTCCATGAAGTTTGTTATTCGAAATTCAAAATTAGTTGTAAACATGAAACAAATAATTATTGTTCTTCATTGTCATTAGAGACGTTCAGTTTTTCATGAAAAATATAGCATCGGTAATTTGCAAATGCATTTTTGAGCAAGTGTGTTGAAAATAACTATTATAGTGCAATTTAAGCACGTGTCATTCCTGAAATTTCACGTAACAAGCATTCCATTGCAATGTAATTCTACTTTCCATCCAGGTCCAGGGTAGTAAATTACTTCTATCTTACATTAAATGATTTTCTTGCTCTAAAACCCTTTCTGTTATTTCAGTGGGGTCTTTACGCCGAACCCATATTTTCCCAACAAGGTGGATTCCCCAAAGAGTTGTCGGAACGCGTCGCCGAAAAGAGCGCCAAGCAGGGCTACGCCTCGTCCCGGATGCCATCCTTCACGGACGAGGAACGGGACCTGGTCAGAGGCAGTTTTGATTTCTTTGGTGTCAACCACTACACAGCGTTCTTAGCTTCAGCGGCTAAAGAACACAAGACCTATTATCCAGTACCATCGCTTTATGATGACTCGGATTCCAGCACGTACACTCCTGATGACTGGCCCAAATCTGCATCAGGATGGTTAAAAGTAAGTACCTACCTAAGCAATAAAGGAATCCTAATAATATTTTATTAAAACCTTAGTTATTTTACTATTGACTTGTAGTAGCGCGGCGGAACTCAAGCGAGCGAAATATTTATAACGAAATACGACTCTTGGGCAGTTTAAAAAAAAAATATATAAGAATAAATACGTTCTGACAAACTTTTTTGACATTTACAATGTGTAACTATAGAGAAAATTGCATATTCATCGATGCTTTTCAGAACAGGTATTTTAGCGGCGTTATAATAAAGCAGTAGTGGATCACTAAATAGCGCGGTGATTATTGCTTCCATCTATCAAAAGCATTTAGTTAGTGAATAGTCCTACTAGGCGATACATGGACCAAGTTACTCACGTAATTTTTTAAGTTTAAATATTTATTCGTAACAAGTCAGTCGTCTATTCGAGTGGCAGTGTTTACCTGTATATTATGACAAATGAGGCATCATTAGGTGATGTCACCATTGCTGATTTGTTACTTTCATATCATATCATGCCAGTAAACAATTTATATGCGTAAAATTAATGTTACAGTTAGCACCGAACAGCATCTTCGACGCATTTACATTCCTGAGAAACAAATATGGCGACATTGACTTCTACGTGACAGAGAACGGCTGGTCCACGAGTCCTACAGCTGGACTAATTGACGATGACAGGGTGCGGTATTATAGGGCCGCCCTGAATAGTCTCCTGGATGCCAGAGAGGCCGGCGTTAACATCAAGGGATACATGGCTTGGAGTCTAATGGACAACTTCGAGTGGATGGAAGGCATCACGTAAGTTTGTTAATGAATAATTATTGATCCATGAGGCTATAGATTATTTTCAAAAAAGTTAGGGTTCCGTATGAATACTTCGATAATATAACCCAACGTGTAAAAAAAATAACCTTATGTCGCGTACGCTGCGGAAGACTTGACCATTTATTATACATTTATTTTTCTTAAAATTAGTAAGGTAAGTTAATGAAAAATATGAAACATTTTAAAATGTAAAATTATTGTCTAAAATAATTTATAAAAGCTAAAATCATAGTTTTGTTAAACAACACTCGGCTGATATGAGAGCACCTATGCCTATGTTAAAGTATATACGGGCGAGTGAAGTTTTAACGCAGCATCGGCTAGAAAAGCTGGTCGATTGTGTTATCATCGGAGTGGCAGATTGCCAATCGTGGCTATTGCCCAGCGGAAGCTGTTAGCGCCTAACACTTTGCTTGTAATGCCTGCCGCGCCGCTCAATGGACAATAACGTTTGTCATTGCACGTCATTGTAGGCAACGAGCGTAGGGCTGCTGGTACGGTACGAAATTAAATGCCCCCTAATTTTTATGCATCCAAGTCGAAAATCACTACTCGTCTTATTTTTATTGTATTTAAATGTATTTTTTGCGAAAGGCTGTGGAGAATCTAATTTAAAATACGTAAGTGTTGCCAGGTCCGATTTAGAAAATATAGTTATAGAAAAGAGCAATAGATGTATGGAAAGAGCTACAAGAAAAAACAGTATATGCAGAGGCGTACTTTTTACCGTACTGATTTGCACCCGATTTGCACATCAGTGGCTACAAATTCCACGATACCATGTCTGTCTATGTCCATGTCACAACTACAGTTACCGTGACTAGAGGTTCTCTGCGGTTTCACCCGCGTTAATTTGAAGAAATAGGTTAGAGTGAGTCATACTTAAAATATGGATATATGCTGTCGCGGCCTTAGAACTTTTGAAGGGTGAAAATTCTGTTATACATGATTTTTTTTGTAACTTTAACAGTTTGTTTACCCAGCGCACGCAACGAAATCCCACAAATATTTTTACCCGTTATTGCAACATTTTTCATCGATGCTCTGCTGCTACTGGTCGTAGCCTGATTTTATACAGCGTTCCTCGATAAATGTGCTGTCCAATATAAAAATATTTTTTCTAATCGGAACAGCACAGCAACGGTGCATTCGGTACTTTACAACAATTCGGTACAACAATTCTTTTACTTGGAATGGAAAGTTTATCATTATTATGAAGAAAGCCATTGTGTATAATACAAGCCTTTGAACAAAAACTATAGTCTACACTACAGCTCTACACCGAAGCGAAGCTAGGGCGGGCCACTAGTATGTTTTAAATTTATTTCTTTTGTCTCCAGGGAACGGTTTGGATTGTACGAAGTTGATTTCGAAGACCCTGCGCGCTCCCGCACCCCCCGGAAGTCTGCCTTTGTTTACAAGCACATCATTAAGAATCGCTATATCGATTCCGACTACAAACCCGAGTCCCTAACAATGACCATCGATGACGGCTTATAAGCAATCAAAATCATCGACTTGGCCAGTATGCTGATTAAAGTAGGTAGATTGACCTACCTATAATTTAATTATTTTAATTAAAATGTAAATAAATAAGTGTAACTTCCTCTCTACTTGTATTATTTTCTTTTCCCATTAAGTTAATAAATAAATAAATATTTCCAACACTTACACCAATTTATCCTAGCCCCAAAGTTAGCACCACCGCGTAGGCTTGTGTTATGGGTCGCTCTGGTGTAGTGGCGCACGTAGGTGCGCCGATCCCAGAGCGCCCTCATAAGGGCCGAGGAGGGTACCGGTGGTTTTTAGTGGGTAGGACCGGCGTTGTTCCGTGCCGGGGTAGTCCTACACACGTCGCGCGCCTGGCAAGCTCGCGGTATGGTGCGTAAATGCATTTTCCACCGTCAACAGAAAAAAAATGTTATGTGTTATGGGATACTAGGGTAACGTTTAGAATACTTATACTAGTCCAGTCAATTTAGTTATTCAAAGGTATATAAATTCATATCAATGTTTTGAACAATTGTATTCACTTTCAGCTTGATGTGAATTTATGTACATACCTTCACTCTTAATTTTTTGTCTAATTTGACCAGACTATATTGCTACATATATAAGTATATTTATATAGAAATACATATTATAACATCCATCACTGGAGTACAAATTTTTGTGCTCATCACACAAACATCTGCTCCCACCGTGATTCGAAACCGTTACCTCTCGAGCAGGCGAAGATCGTCATTTACTTTATGCAATACATTAATTTGAATAAATAGTGTAATCCATACTTATATATAATATATAATAATATTATAAATGGGAAAGTGTGTTTGTTTGTTTGTCTTCTCTTCACGCCTAAACCCGCTTATGAGACTGCTATAGGCTACTTTTTTTAATTTATGTATTCGAATTTACATAATTTTCAATTAAATTAATCATTTTCATGGTTGGTCCCGATAGAGATGGCGCTACTGTCACGAAGACAGATTAAATTTGAAATGTGGAAGTTGCTATCTTAACATAATACGAGATGGCACCACTCGTGTTCAATACCGAGTATTTTGTGTTAGTGTTTCATTTATTAAATCGAGGTAATTTTACGCAATTTCTTTCTAATCTCATTTTTAAAATTAAATCTAGCAAATACTACTCTAAATTTATAAAATAAAAATATCATTTTCGAGTGATTATAGATTCTGGCTGTTGCTTATAATAATATAAAATAGAGATGGCGCTACCATCTCGAATACCAACTCAACCGAGTAGTCTCTCTTGAAATAATATTTTCTGAGTAACTTAACAGATGGCACCACCCGTCTTTAAAATCGAATATTTTTAATTGCTAAAAATGTGAGTTGTGATATTGCGTTTTTTCAGATCGCGCTATTCATGAACATGACTTTTTAATATTTATTGTTAATTTTAACGTGATGTAGGTAGATATTTTAATTAAAACAATATTAGTAAAAAAAACGACTTCCTTCAGTGTCCTAATATCTTACTAGAAACTCTTATAAACATGAAATAGATATTAAATAATATTAAATAATCAGCTGTTTACAGTAGACAGATACTAAATAAACAGCTGTTATGATTTATTTTAGTCCCTTAATCGAGTATTATCCAATAATTTTCAAGTGAAGATTGATCCTGGATGTTGAGTAGAGGTAGGCGCTACCAACTCGAATAACAATTCGAAAACCAAGCTGTTGCGTGTGAAACTGAAGAGATGTCGCTACCCGTCATTAAAATCGAGTTTACTTGCACTAAAAATCTGAGGTTTTTCGGATGGCGCTATTCATGAACATTACTTTTTTATATTTATTGTTTTTAATAGTATTCTGTTATCTGTGCTATTAGAGAAGAATAAACGTGGTGGTGTTTACTATTTCAGCAGGTAAGCAACAGCAAGCAGTAGGTACCTACCTACCTTGATTGATTTTAAAGAAATACGATTTACCTACCTAACTACATATCTGTTTTTGTTTTCCTTTGTGTTTTGGTTTTGTTGTGCATTAAATGAATTAGGTAGGTATTTTGGTAGTTTCTTCGAATGTATAAAATTGGCTCACTGATAAAAATTACGATTATTATATTATAACCTACCTACCTCGATTTTTACCAGTAAGATAGACAACGCATAGTTAGGTATTGGTTTTTGTAATAATATGGTATTGTAGTTTTTGATTGGTTTTGTTGCTCTGAAAGAAGGGCTGCCTATTTGGTGGTACCTTGATTGGTACCTACCTACATTATCTACTAAGTGCGCATACTATTTCGGCAGGTACCTAGATAGGTAAATACCTTGATTTTAATAAAATACGAATTACCTATTTACTACCTACAGGTATTATTATGAGAGTGTTTGTTTTGTTTAACCTTCCTCGAAGTCTAAACCACTTTGAAATTTGGTAAGTATGTAGGTTGAACCTTTGGGTTGCTATAAGCTACTTTTTACTCACTATGTCAAAGGAGGATGATAGCCTCAAATAGGAAAACCAAACCTGAAATAGAGTAACAGCTAGTCTTTAATATATTTTAAAGATTCCACTAATTCTGCTATTCCGGTCAAGTGGACGTGAGAACTTCATTGTAGTGTTGACTACTTCGCAGAAGCTTATTGAGAAAGCTGACTCGATATATTATGTGCAAACCAAACACTCCAAGAAACATTAGAATGCATCACACTCAAATCCTAATTGTAAAAAGAGTTATTAAAAAATCAAATCGATGGCTGTATAGCTTTGCCTTTCCTACTAGGAAAGAATAAAATAAAAAAAACTGAAGACTAGACTGCATGGGCATTGTTCCCTTTGCCTTCCCTAAAAAGGGAGAACGTTAAAAAAATTAAAAAAAAGGCAGATGTCATTGACATTGGCAGTCGCTGTCAGTCAGATTGTCAGTTTTTTAGTTAGTTGATCGTGCATGGAAAAAAGCGCGGGAACGTTTGACGAGCTTGGCGGTCTTTTTTAAAGAATAAAACTAAATTTATTAATTTTGTATATATTTATTGTGAATAGTGTTTTGAATAGTCTTTAATAATAAGTGTGTACATAGTGTATTAAAAAAATGAGGAATAGGAAGAGTAGAAAAAGGAAAAAACAATTAGATGAACAAGGCGGCGTGGATGGAGATGGCTCTGAAGATTCTAACTTTAGCGACGTCTCCTCCATACAGTCTCTAGAAGAGAAAAAAGAAAGCTTAAACAAATATAAAGATTTCCGAATCCCTAATTACGTTCGATTTTACCCAGAACAAGGCGGAAGTTTCGAATATGTGGTATTCATTGAGAGTACAAAATCTGATCAGCCTATTGGTAATCGAGACATGATGGGATTAGCAAACTGCTTGAAGCGATATAACAAAGGTGTAAAACAGTTGCGAAGAGTGAATAAATATAAAATCGGTGTGGTATTTGAACGTCCTGGTCTGGCTAACGCGGCATTACAGAATAGAAAATTCTTGGAAGCATACAACCTGTCGGCATCTATTCCGGCAGCAGCTAGCGAAGTCACAGGTGTCATCACTCATGTGCCCACAGAATTATCGAATGAACAAATATACTCTGCATTGACTTCTACAAAAAATATCGTAAGCATTCGACGTTTTATGAGAAGAATAAGGACTGATAAGAGAGCCGACAAAGACAGTTTCTATCACATTTTCATGCCCAGTATTACCTGAGAGTGTCGACCTCAACAGCTGGCGTTTCGAACTACGACCCTACATACCCCCAGTCAAGCAGTGTCTTAAGTGCCTGAGGTATGGACATATTGCCAAATTTTGTAAGAATGCAGAACGATGCTCCATATGTGGTGAGTCACATAACTTTAAACTCTGTACAAAATCAAGTCAGGATGCTGTATGTTGTCATTGCAAGGGGAACCATGTGGCTATTTCGTCACAGTGCCCTGTAAAAAAAGAAAAAATATTATTAAATAGAGAAAAGGCTCAGAATAAAACATACTCTGCTGTAATTAATGAGAAATCATTCCCTCCCTTGAAACAAAGCCCCACTGATATGCTAGCATTGCTATTAAACTCTGATTTTATTTTGAATATGGTTGTAGAGTCAATTGTCAAATTAATAACAATGAACAAAAACAATGAAACAGCTATTTCCACACAGAGTATAAAAGATACTCTCTTGGAAACAATAAATAAAAATAAGAAACAAAACACTTAATCTTTTTTTTTTATGGATTTTTTAAATATAATGCAATGGAATGCTCAGAGTTTACCTGCACACAGATACTTATTAACAAATTTTCTACAAGAGAATCAGATTCATGTAGCTTTGATTTCTGAGACATGGTTAAAACCACACATTCAGTTTACTCTCAAAAGTTATGATATAATTAGACTAGATTCAGGTAACCGCCATAATGGCGTTGCCATTTTTATTCATAATAGTTTGCAATTCCATAAGATAGATACATCATTTGATGATTCAATTCAAAATATAGCTGTAAGATTGTATTATGGAAATCAAGAAATTTCTCTTATGTCTTTATATAGTCCAGGTAACTGTAACCCTTCATTTTCTAAATCAAAACTTGATTATTTAATCAGCAGTATCCCTGGGCCTTTGCTGATTGCTGGCGATTTTAACGCCCGGCATACAGCATGGGGCTGTAGCTCTATTGATTCACGTGGGCGCGATATTATTGAAAGCATCAATGACAATAACTTAGTACTCCTAAATGATGGTCAGCTGACAACTGTTGGCTCTAGTGTATGGCAAAGGAATGCTTTGGATTTAACACTAGTATCACCCTCTTTGGCTTTGAGATGTGAATGGTCTGTTTCTGATGACCCTTTAGGCAGCTACCATTTACCTGTAATTACAAAATTAGAAATTAGTAATAATAAAGACTCATTTGAAAATTTACTTGCACTCCCTACATATTTTAATTTCCGTCTAGTAGACTGGCAAAAATATAGTGAAAATGTAGATTTCTTATTAAATAACAATTTACAATTTGACCAGTTTAATCCATTAAAATGTTATTCAGATATGGTAATATTATTAAATCTAGCGCTGCAGCAGTCTGTTACTCACACTAGTAGACAGTTTGTTCAACCACAAATATCAGCTCTAAAAGC